AAGCTCATTCTGTGCATGCATTCATGAGGAGTCCAGTGATCTGCTCTACATACATCCAGATCATGGAACTTGATTTACGCACGACCTTTTTACGAAGCATCATCGAGCAGACGAAAAAAACTCTCAATTTGTAGCTCTAACGCAAGTCTTGTTTTTTGTACTTTGAATTACTGTGTTTCCATGCGCTCACATTTTCACACTGTTTTTTTAATCAATCTCAATCAAATTATTGTACTGTATGAAGGATACAGTACAAATATTAGATGTCCTCATCTGCCTCCTGCTCCTGCTCGAAATCATCATCTCCGTCAGTATCAACGTCTGACATATATGTGTCCTCTACAAGATTGTGCTCGTGAATATACCTCTCATAGTCCTCCCACATTTGTGTCGCTATACGATCACAGAACGTGTTTGAATTCGCATATGTGTCTACATTCCCACCTTCAAGTTCAGGCTCAGAGTTAGTACTGTCCGAGTGAGGCTGTCCTTGATTTGCAGGGTTGTCATTGATGATGGCGGCTTGTGGCAGAGGTCCCTCGCCCGGATCGTGAGTGAGTATGAAGTTGTGGATAGCACAGAGTGCAGCAGGGACGCACGCCTGTATCTCCATCCCATATTCTGGGGATATCAATAGAATGCGAAAGCGTCTCTTCAGGACACCAAAAATTTGTTCGATAACATTGCGTGCTGACGCATGACAAAGGTTAAAAAGCTCTTCTTTATTCACCAGCCTGAAAAATAACTGTTAATTGCATACATGTTTGAATAAAACCAAAGCTTACCTCACACTCGCCCGCCCCCACTCCGCAAGATGATAACGAACTCCATGATAAGGTATCAGGAGCTCTGGATGAGAAGGGAAGCCGGCATTGGCAAGAAAGTACTTGCCAGGTGCAAGTTTTAAGCCCCACTCATGTGCCTCATCCCAGAGATGTGCATCAGTAGCAGATCCTTCCCAACCAATAAGCGCATAGGTAAACTTCAGATCGAAGTCGCAACTAAAGAGACAGTTTTGGGATACAAACCCTTTGCGATTATGATAGAGGTGGCATTCAGATGCAGGAGGGAAGGCATGTATATGGCTCCCATCAATTGCTCTGATGGCATCCTTGAAATAGGGCCAACACTTTGGGTTATCGCGGATTTCTGCGGAGACTGGTGTGTTGGCAGTGGGAAGATGGACATATGTGGTGTAAAATGGGTGGCTTGAGAAAATATCGAGCATCTTTCGAAAGTAGCTATGATAATGTCAGTATTGAGCATCAAAATCGAAATATATATAGGACCTACTGAGAAATTGTGCCATTTGACCGTTGCTCCCCCACATGTCGTACTGTGAGTCCCGTCACGCACGAGTATAGAAATATTGCGAGTTGCTCCTCTAGAGAGACATAGCACGAGTCCACGTGACCAAGAGTGCGAAGCTCAATGATCAAATGCTCAAATACATGTGCATGGATGCTGAGCTCACAGCGAATCCGTTCTTGATGGCCAATAATAAGTTCAATGACCCACTCTTGGCCAGATAAGGCTGATGTGTGGTAAGGTTCTGGTTCATCTGGTATCTCTAAGAAGAGTATCTGTGCGGTTATAGCCAGAAGCATGCTGACAATCAATGTGATATGACGAAGGATGCGCTGGCAGACTGCTACTCGTGCTGGCTGTGTTTCATCTGGTGGTTGGATTAGCTGTGGAGGTATAAGGCGATCCTGTGGGATCAACAGTGGTTGAGGAAACAGCAGTTGAAGAGCTGGTACAGGTGCTAGATTCATTGAGATAGATATTGATCTTATCATACGACAAACATTATGAGTTCACTTTCAGACTCCATTTGAAATTTGACATTCTTGCATCACTTCGAAATCATATTTTGGCTCAAATCGCGGTTGCCGAACAGGCTCTTAAGGACTGGCAAGAAGTCTTCACCATGTTGTCATTATACACAACATTTATATAAGACCCTTAAGTAACAAGACAATGGGCTCATCGAACAATTTGGGGACATTGATTTGCAGTCATGTTAATACTGTTACGACTGGGGTATGTCGAGCTGTCTTAGTCCGAGTGGACTGAGATTCAGCGAGACAGACGTGGTTCTTCTCTCGAATGAGAGGTCAGAGGTTTCTGGCTAAGGCAAGTATCGGCGACTTCCTTAGAATGATGGTTCTTAGATAGCAAGGTTGGAGACCTTGCTAAAGGACTAGTTCCAGGTAGAACCCAGTAGATTAAAGTGAAGAACTACATGTGGTACGCTATGTATCTATATAGCGAGAGTTCAAGCGGAGCTTGTAAATGTGTATCAAGATAGAAGGCGGACAGCCCGCTTGGTAGACGATAAGAGATAAGAGATAAGAGATAGTAACCATGGTGCGGACAGCCCGCTTTGATAAGAGATGATCGGCTAAACATAGCGATGGTTACTAGCACGGAAAGTCAGCTTGGCAATGATATGAGTAAGAGTCTGGAAAGTAATTGGTCGCTCATCAACAGCTGTGTCCAAGGACCATTGTCCGGTAACAAAGGAGAAACGAAGAGAATGAATGTGCCGTAACAAATACCATGAGTGCACAGGTATGAAACAAGGGCAGTTGCTTCATGTGGTAGTAGGTGATGGGGAGTGCATTCTCATTTGTTGAGCAGTACATATCTATGACCCAGGTCAACTGAATAGTGCAGAAGTGTGTCTGTTGGTGGGTTGAGAGTTGGAATCATGACTTTCAGTGCATTGACTTGACAACATTGAACACCATGTTCGGACAATTTAGCATACAGCTGAGAATGCGAATGAATTTCACAACCAAGGTTACCAATCGTCCACTCCATAGTCCACTGTGAGGAGCAGATCGGAGAACCCTTTGTGATGGTCTTAGGTGCAAGATGTCCAAGTGAATGTGCTCATGGTTGCATGAAATGGAGGTGGTTGACACGACGCTGATAGTACAGGAGTTTGAACTCCTTCTTGAACTGTATGAGCATCTCATGAGCTTCACACAAGTCAGCTGCAAGAATTTTGTGTTGCTGCATGATTCGAATCCCATGAATGAGCTTGCAAAAGTTTTTCCAGTAGACATCAGGGAGATCACCATAGAGGATTGCAGGTCTGAGGCCAAAGAGATAGAGTAAGAACTCCCAGGCTTTGTATCCACTGTTGATTTTCTGTGCAGGGTTGCAAGGGGGATGATCAAATGATCCAGGAAGGTATGGAGTTGCATCCACTACAGCTTTACCATGGTCTTGCCATACACGACCCTTGAGAACAGCCCAGTCCCATGTCTCCTTGTTGCCAGTAGATTCGCACCGAAAAGAGCCATGACAGATGGGAATAAGTTCATTGGCAATGTTGATTGCAGCAAGGTGCATGATGTTAGATCTGAAGCAGTTAGGAATACCAAGGATGTTGTTGGGTTGTATACCAAGAAAGATAGTGGGTTTTGAGATACCCATTTGGAGACGGCGCTGCTCATACTGAGTTTGGGTGCGTGATTCCATCAGGTGCTTGAGATTTTCTAGATAGTTCCCTGAAGATGCAGCAGGAAGGCTCTTGACATCAATATCAGGATGGTTAGAACCAGCATGATCATAGTTGATTGGCTTGAGGAGCGCTGGATAATAGTGTCTGCCAGCACCTGGTTTATGGCACCCTCTCATACCACAGTAAAGTCAACAGCCATTGCCTCCATGTAAACCTATAAGTCCATTGAGATAAACCATGCCTGGGCCATCTGCAGTTGCGAGAGCAAGGAAGGGAGTTGATTTGAATACACGATTTCATGATGCATCCCAGATGGTGAGACCTTCATGCTGAATGGCTGCAAGGTGGTATAGGCCAGGAAACAAGAATGAGTCCACATTCTTTGGCTTATTGGGACTAGGAATGAATCCTCCAGGTAGAACATACTTCTTCTTGTAGCGTTCCTGTGGGTGGTGGTCAAATACTACCCAAATATATATCCAACAGTCTGATTGCTTACTCTCATACAGCTGAGCACCATCAATCGAAAGCATTAGTATAGGATCACCATCTTTGATCTTGCCCAATCTGACGGCATCAAGATAGTCTGTGCCATGAAAGAAATCTTCATAAGCATCAACAACACCACCATTTGCCCTGAACTTCTCAAGAAGAGCATTGGTTGCATCATCCCAGTACTGCATCTTTTGTGCACTGCTGGGCTCCCTCCAAAGTGCTTGAATCTGGTCTGTGATGGGGATAGTCTCGAAGACCTGAACAGGTAGTACCTTTTTTCTCCCTCAACTCTTTCATAAGATTTTCTGGTCATAACAATCTTACCTGCACTTCGGACACTTATCATGGTGTCGCCAGGGCCCGCAAAACACTATGCATGAGTATATGCACATGTCATGCACGATAGACTGAATACCACTGAGTAGAGCGACTCGACAACAGATTTGATAGTGTGATAACACTTCAGAATCAGGAAAGCACTCCATGATAGCACTACGTATTGAATTGTATGCAGCTTTGGTGGTATCAGCAAGGAATAGCTTTAGCGACAGTAGTACATTGGGATCATCGATACTCAGAACCTCTTGAGGTGGGTTGCGAAGGCATTCAAGAGCATCTAGCTCAATATTGATGACTCCATCATCTAACATTGCACTATGAAGAGCTTGAATAAAAATCATTGCATCTTTGATATCATCAAGTCAAGAGAGCCAAGAGAGTTCTGCTAGGTCTGCATCATTCAGTCCAATGGTATGGTCTGTTTGAGGGTCTGCATCATTAGTGCTCCCTTGAATTTCTTCCTCCTTGGGCTCATGGGGTGGCATGTTCTCATCTCTGTCATGTCCCTGGGAGTCCTTGAGATTCTGCAACTCAGAAGTGTCATCCTGCCCTGCATATCCATCTGAGTCATCTTGCCCTGCATGCACGTCCAAGTCATCCAGCCCAGGAAAGGCATTATCATAATGTTCGAACACATCCAGATGGACCTGAGGCACGTCATTGTGTTCCTCGAGTGCATCACCCTGATGAGCAACAATAAATCAGCAGATATTGAATGATACATGCAACTTACCGCTGGAATGATCTGCTTATCATCAGATAGTGCATGTGTGCCACTGTCAATGTGTCTACACTTGAGAGTATGGTGGTGTGTGGGCTGGACATCTGTGTCCAAGTCATTGAGCTGGACACTGCTGGAATTGGCAGAATTGGCCTGGATCAATGTAGTGAGAGTTTTATTGAAGATGGTCACCTTGGGAGCGCGATATTTGGTGTGATAATAGTAGGTTGCTCAAGATACATGCTGGCGAACACCTGCACATTTTGTAAGACAATCACAGAGGTACTCTTCCTCCATAGTATGATCGTGATATTGTAAATTACCTGAAGTGAGCAACTTGGTAAAAGTGTGTAGGTTGAGGAAATGCAGGACCATGAAAAATACCTGGACCAGTATGCAGGAAATGCAGGAATGTGAGTGCAGAAATGAAAAACCAAATCTTATCTTCAGAATGTAGGATTGTTTGTATTGACGTACATCAACATTCCTCATTTTATATTTATTGTATCTATCTTGTTTGATTTATACCCACCTCTATTTTCCTTGTTTTCACTGGGGCTGATGTGGTTATGTGTAGAATAGAGTAGACTTTAGATTAGAATATTTGATATTAAGACTGAAGATTTTGTAACTACTTTGTACAATATATATATACTGTTAAACGGTTATTCTATGTGTCTGATCCAAAACATATGAAAACAGACTTGTCTTTTCTCCGTGCTGCGCTTACTAATCGACACCGCTCCGGCTATTCCCGGGTAAGTCAGTGTTCCCTACATCATTCTTTCTTTGTCATATTACTAAGCCTTTACTCCTGTGCTCGTACTGTCATCATGTACGGCTAAGTCCAACACTCCCCCTTGAGCACAGCCTATCTTCATCTTCTCCCTCAACTCCTTGAACCGTGGTGCCGGCAGCGCTTTCGTAAAGGCGTCTGCAACATTTTCGTCCGTGGGCTTGTACTGGAGGGATAGAGTTTGGTTTTTGACCAGCGCTCAGATAAAGTGGTATCATATGTCGATGTGCTTGGTACGTGCATGGAACTTGTTATTTGATGCTAACACGATTGTCCCTTCATTGTCACAGTAAATCTTTATTGGTGTCTTCATCGTCCCATAAAGCTCGTCGATAAGAGCTTGGAGGTACAGTATTTCACACGCTACTGACATTAGGGCGATATATTCGGCTTTGGCTGTCGAAAGCACGATGATGGTCTGTTTCCTGGCACTCCATGCGATCGGCGATCCGTACAACGTTATGATGCACCCTGACATTGAGTGTCGGTGCGGCTGTGATGCCCAGTCCACATCTGAAAATGCTTCAAGCTTGTTGTCTGCTTTCCCAAGGTGAGTTTCAAGTCCTTTGTTCCTTTCAAATAACATATAACCTTCTTTGCAGCTTCCCAATGTGCATTAGCCAGTTCACACATGAATTGCGAGAGTATCGAGACAGCAAAGGCTATATCGGGACGTGTGCATGTCACCGCATACATTAGCGATCCGATAGCCTGTTGATATGGTACATTTTGTTCGGGTATTTCAGATTTGGTGTCTGGTGAATGGTCTGTTGACTCTTTCATTAGGACTATTCCCGTTTCCATTGGTGTTTGCGACGTTTTCGCATCCTTCATCCTGAACCTTTCGACTATGGTGTCGATGTATGCCTCTTGTGACAACATTATGGTCCGTGCCTCTCGGTCTCTTTCAACCTTCAATCCTAGGAGCCAGGTAAGCTCTCCTAGGTCCAAAATCTCGAATCGTTCACAAAGCTGATCTTTGAACTTTTGAATGTGCTTTAGGTGTTTCGATGTGACGGCCATGTCGTTGACGGAGACTGTGATAACAGTATGTCCTTCTTCGGCTTGTCGATAGTATACAGCTTGATCGACTTGCAAGCGCATGAAGCCATTACTGAGGGAAAATTCTTCTAGCTCCTCGGACCATTCAAAACCAGCCTGCTTTAGGCCATATAAGCTATGCAATAGCTTTAACACCTTCCCTTCGTCTCCTTTGTTCAAGTACCCTGGTGGCGCACGCATGTATATGTCGTTGTTGAGCTTGGCATTGAGGTAAGCACTTTTGATGTCAACTTGGTGTATTTCCCAGTCATGCTTAGCTGCCATCGTTAGGACAGTTCGAATTGTTGTCATACTTGAGGTAGGTGCGAATGTTTCTTAATAGTCTATGCTGTACTCTTGGCACTGACCGTTTGCAACTAGACATGCTCGTAGCTTGACTTTCTCCCCATTAGGTTCTCGTTTCATCGCTAAGACAAAATGGCAGGGAATAATGTTAGCTCCCTTCGGTACGTCCACTATCTCCCAAGTTTGTAGCTTCTCTAGTTGACTGATTTCGTAGTCAATTACTTGTTGCCATTCTTTGGCATCTGGTCCGTTTAGAGCCTCCTTGAGCATTGGCTCACGTTGAGCGGCTGCAAATGCTTGGTAAGTGTTTGAATCTTCTTCGTCCTTCTGTTCTATTATTGCAGCTGATGCTGCTTCTCCTTCATGTAGACTTCGATAGTATCCTGCTGGTGGACAGGTGCACATTACTCTTGGTGTTTTCAGGACTGGTAGGGGTTGTGCACTTTGAGGTGGGGTTTTAGGTGCTTGGATTGGTGTTTGGAGAGTTTGGGGAATTTGTGCGATGGGCTGGACGATATTCGGTACGTTGTTAATTGATTCTTGGCTATACTCCCCCTTGTCCAGTACGTCGTCATCTGTGTTGATGTTTACTGGCACAAAACTAATGTTTCATTCAATAGAAACTCATCGTTTTCCTGGCCAATACATTCAATATCCTTTGCTTTCTTCGTCCACACCGACAACAAGGCTTCTTCAGCTTTGGCTTCTAACTTTCCGTTATCCGGTATTTGTACATACATCCATTGTCCGAATTCGTGCGCTGTGGCTAAATTTGATTTAGACTTATGCATTAATTCAAATGATGTTTGTCCTGGGATGGCCTTTGAAGGTAAGCGGTTTTTGAGCCAAGTGGCATAACTGATGGCTTCGGCCCATAGGAATTTTGGTAGTTCTTTTGCCAGCAACATGGCCCATGCATGTTCGACCAATGTCTGATTTAGGTGTTCGGCTATGCCATTCTGCTGCAGAGAGTCATGCACCGTAAGTTCTCTTGTTATTCCTTGCTTCTTCAAGTACTCATCAAAAACATTGCTCATATATTCTCCTCCTTGATCCGATCGAACTTTGTGCAGGCACGCTCCTCGTTGTCTGCTGATGTAAGCTTCGTACTGTTTGAACGCAGTAAGTGCATCACTCTTCTTCAAGAACGCTATCTTTGTCTCCCGGCTATAGTCATCAGTAAAACTGATGTAATATAGACATCCGCTGATCGTTGCCGTCTGCGCAGGCCCCATAAGTCCATATGCACGAGTTCTCCATAAGTCTTTGCACGATTCTTCGTCTCCTTTGGGAACTGCTGACACGATGCCTTTGCTTGTGCACAGGTCTCACAATATTCCGGTTTCGAGTTTAGATTCACATCTATTCCTCTAACCGTTCCCTTCTTCATGGCTTCAAGTATCGCTTCCTGTGAGACATGTCCTAGGATGTGATGGGCTTCGAAAATGGTATGTTTCTTCATTACAGCGTGCACATGGTGCTGATCTCGAGAAATGATGCTATAGAGTCCATTGATCTGTGGAATGGATGCTATGGTTCATCGTTCAGGAGCTGGGGATATTATTTTGCAGAATTTGTCCTCAAATAGGATGCTAAAGCCTGTGGATGCGATTTGATTGGTTGACACCAAGGTGAAGGCCATTTTTGGCATGTATAGCCCATTCTTGAGTATGATACTCGTCTTCTTATCTCCCAATGGCATTTCTATGCTGACATCACCTCTTCCTATAGCGCTTATGGCCGATCTGTCTGCGGTATGAAAGTTTTGAGCTTTGATAGGCTCGAACGTTATGAATTTTAACCTGTCCAATCTTACTAGGTACTACCCAGAAACTAGTCTAATCAACTAGGTTTTCCCTTGAACTCCTTGTCCCGCTAAAGCTACCTGCTCGACATCGACTCGTACCTTCAGTGACGCCTCTCACTGTCTGTAAACCCTGCTATCATCTCAGCGTAACCCCTCGTTAACCACCACGAGCTACGTTCGAGTACGCAACCTTTGCTTGTCTGTAAAGGCCGACGACTCTCAGCACTCGGTACCACTGTCGTGGTTGTCGCTGTTTAGATCATCCTAGTCGCACACGACCGCTTGTCGTAACACTGTCCGGGCAAAAATGGGACGTAGCGCTGGAGTCAATAATTGCTCCGCATTTCTCAACTGGTACGTCTATCTTCTTCGCAACATTCGCAAGGTCTGACATTGCAAATGCATAATCATTTGCTCTTTTGATCTTGTCTGCAGTGTTTGCCGTTTCCTTTTGGCCTTTCCTCAGTCTGCCTTGGTCCTTGTCCCTCCTTTCCTGCCTCCTTTCCTCCAACAGTCGGCTTTGTAATGACCTTTTTAGTCACAATTATAGCAGGTAATGTCTTCATTCTTATTGTTCGTTGTTTGACCTCTTCGTGTGTTTGTCCTTGCTGAGAATGCACTGTTCCCAGTCTTCTTCGTCGGCTTTCGGTCTGCTAACTGTCTGTGTTTGTACTCTTTGCTGATGACATTTATCAGTTCATATGGCATTAGGATGGTCTTGGAGATGCGCACTGCAGCATTTATGGAGGATAGTATGGGTCTATAGGATTCAGGTAAGGATCCCATCATTATCGCATAGAAATCTTGATCTGCGATAGATGCTCCCATTCCAGCCAGTGTTTCGCAGATTCGGAGCAACTCTCCAAAATGTTTCTTTATATCTCCTCCTTCGTCGCATCGAGTTTCTTGCAGTCGGTGCTGCAAATCGACTTGCACGAGTTCGGTCTTTCCCTTGTGTATGGTTCATATCTCTGTCCACACCTTTGAAGCTCTTCCTGAGTTCTGCACTCTCAACAGCATCTGGTCCGATGTTGTGCTGATGATGTGCTGCTTGATGAGTGAGTCTTTTTGATGAAACTTGTCCTGTTTCTTTTCTAAGTCTTCCATTTCTGCTTGACTTGGCTTTGATCCGTCGGCCTTGACTGGATTGCCACTAGAATCGTTTTTGAATGAGGCAGGTTCTATCGCTCATCTGTCCATATATCACATCAGTCCCCATGCTCATATCATGGTCTGTGCGCACTCTTTGTACGTTATCCAATTGCTGCCATCTTCAGCTAATTTTGGGATGTTATAGAGCGAGGATGATGATGATTCCATTGTAGACGTGTCAGGGCTCATAACCTGTGGTTATGTGTAGAATAGAGTAGACTTTAGATTAGAATATTTGATATTAAGACTGAAGATTTTGTAACTACTTCATACAATATATATATACTGTTAAATGATTATTCTATGTGTCTGATCCGAAACATATGAAAACGGACTTGTCTTTTCTACATGCTGCGCTGACTAATCGACACCGCTCTGGCTATTCCCGGGTAAGTCAGTGTTCCCTACATCATTCTTTCTTTGTCATATTACTAAGCCTTTACTCCTGTGCTCATACTGTCATCATGTACAGCTAAGTCCAACAGCTGATTAATCAGCTCCAAGCCAAATAAAGACTTTGTGATTTTACTGATGGAGAATCCTGTATCCAAAACAAGTAGTTTGCTGATGGTCTGTGCATCTGTGCTACTTGTGCACTTGTCGAGTTTGTTCCCAATTTTTGACTATTTGCTTGTGTTGATGTGTGTATGGCCTTGTGTGTCCTTGTGCGGATTTGTCAATCATGTGGGAATTGTCACTAAATTAATAGTTTGCTGATGTGATACACAAAGCAGTTGCAGAAGGCTCAACACACTGGTGTTGAGCTTTCGCATAAGTTACAGCCAGTGACTACAAAGGGGTAAACCACGTCTACTCAATTCACTCATGAAACTGGGGGTATTATAATTATTTCCAATAACTCTTAATGTCAACATCATACAAACTTGGGACGGAAGGGTCCTGAAGGGCCGAACCATTTTCCGTCAACCTGCGGCGCAGCATAAGACACTCCGAGAGTCACATGCAAACCGTTTCCAGTGACTCACCATGCGACTCCAATAAACCCAAGGAAAAAGGTCCTAAGAATAGCACAGACAATAAACTGTGTGCCTTGTTTTAGGAGCTACAGCTCCAATTGTGCTACGTACCTTTTTGAAGTGGTAGAATATTCTGAGGGATTTGGCAGGTTCAATGCAATGATACAAGTAGGAATCACAAAGGACGAACCTTCTCCGTTTTGTCTGATCGCCCAGGTAATTGGCAAAACTCTCTTTGGGCACAAGTCCATACTTGAACTCCGCTAGCATCAACTCCCCATAACCCGTCAGAAGCTAAAGTTAGAATTTGGTCAAGTGGATAATGTTGTAAGTGTTCTAAGGAGGCGGACGGACCGGGCAACTTGTATAGCCATCATACTTTGCACCGCTAACTTTGCCAGTGTCCATAACCGAAAATAAGTTTTCCGTCAAGACAGGAGCCTGAGATGTAATGGCGGCAACCGTTTTGCTCGTGGGTAGGGAGGAACAGTCACCCAAGGCAAATATGTTTCCAAACTCGGGCTTGACATGTCTGAGAGTCGCCTGATCGACTTCTACCCAACCCGTTGGATCAGCAATGGGCGATCCTTTGATGAAGTCTAGCGGTCCCATCGGCGGCGCGACATGCAGGAGGGTGAAATCACGATCCACGGTCGAACCATCATCCTTCTTGAAAGTTGCTTTCCTGTTCGCCACATCAATAGAAACTAAGTTATGTTGGAACTCCGCTTCGATACCTCGCTCGATGCGGAGAGCGTTTAGGGCATCCGAATATTTCTTGACGCTAAACATGGATGGCATGCCAGTCATAAAGTCTATTTTAATGTTATTTCCTCGCCCAGATTTTTGGTATCTGTCCCAGGCCATCCACATGATTTTCTGCGGAGCTAGAAGACGATAAGCAGCCATCATACATAGAGAAATTCGACTCACCTCCTGCACATTTGATGATACCTGCAGGCTGGGTAAATATCGCATTTCCGGACCTGAGAGCATCTACGTCGTGCCAAACTTTGTCGCAGGTATCATAGGAATATATCGATGAGACTCCAGAGGATGGATCAGCGAGAGCCTGAGGCAACCCAGCGATGCCGTCCCAGTTTGTTTTCAAACCTGCTGCCACTACAAGTGAATCGTATGAAATTGTCCGACCTGACGTTGTCGTGACTGATGAGGATTCCGGATAGAATGACTTGACATTCTCTGCGATATGCGTGATATGTGGCGGGAATAGGGACGCGAGCGGTCGTCTGAAATCTGTTTTAGAGCCAAGACCAGCACCGGCCAAAGTCCTGGAGGATACGTCAGGATTCGTATACAGAAACGAGGGATAAAAACCGTCACCAGCCGGGCTTGAAAGAAAGAGCCATCAAAAAGTAGCTCACATGAGCAGGTTACAGTCTGATTCTGAGTGCTTACTTGATAGTAGTGATAGTCTGCTGCGTCAAGGACCACTACATCCCCTGCATTCAAAGGCTTTCCAGCAGCCTTAAAGCGGTTATATATCTGGTTGGCAACCGTCAACCCACCAGAACCTGAAAATACATCAACGTTCATTCAAAGGACTCCATCGACTGCTGCACCTGCTCCGACAACGAGTACTCGGAATTTTTCCTTGGTGCTCGTACTGGCATACCTAGCTAGAGCGACAGTTTGTCGAGCACGCGGGCCTGTTACACGCCGACACGCTGACAACATGTTTGACATGATGATAGTGAAACAACAAGGCGCAAGAGATGAATACCCTGATTCTAGACCACTGATAAAGAATTTTAATATAGATCTTGCGCCCGCCGTTGGTGCCTGGTGTACGGCGAAGAAAGAAATTACATAATTGATATGAGAGATATTCCTGAATTCTGAAAAGGTCGCTCAAGGTTGCTCGAGTTTTCCTCCCCGAGTACCTACACGGATTAGGGCTGTACTCGTTGGCGAGAAGTGTTTCAATGTTAATTAAGGAATTGATTTTGAAAGACTCGGACTCCGAGTATAAACGCCAAATTCAAATTCAAATTTGATGTCAGACATGCTTACTAATATTTAATATTATGTAAGTGCTTCTTGTCTTCATATTGCTCTACTCCAACGACGCTCCTTATTCTTATTTACCTCTCATCCAGCTGGACTGGACACTGTACATTAATATTCTTTTAATCTCTTTATTTTCTCCTTCCATACATCACAAGCTAGGTGACTCGCGCGCTGGTCGTCCATGCAATCGAATCGTCCTTCTCTACAGGCTGGAAAGCTCGGCTTGCCAAGTTCCCCCGCATGCACTCGTCTCAGGAGAGATGCGCCTTTTGTGGAAGGTCACTCGCGAAACCAGAGCCAGCCCATTGTGTCCAATGCTACCCGCTCGTTGCGCTCTCATGGACCCTCAGTATCGGCTCCCGCCCATGCCGTCCATGCCGCCCAAGTATCCTCTCGTCGTGCTGTAGGAGCCGCTCTTGGTTCTCGCTCCAACACGCGTGCAGGCAGTCGCCAGTCGAGTACCTCGGCTGGTTCCGAATCATCCGCTTCATCCTTCTCATTCCGGGACAGAATGAACAGTCAGTTGTCTTCGTCCACTAGCTTAGAAGATTATCTTGAACCGCCAACAAAATCTACTGGACCTGATAAATCACTCAAGACCGATACGGACCAACATGAAGGTTTGTAATTTATAGTTTTATATTTTATAGTTTTGTTTATATTGCGATCTCAGACCCCGAGCATGGTAGATATTTTTCAATATTGGAAAGTGGTGATAGCGTATGGAATCGTGTTGCTGCGGCTGCAAGTGTCTTGACAGTTAATGTCAATAAAGCATGGTATTCAAGAGTTGGCGCTTCAGAAGAGGAAGGTGGGTGCACATCAATCATGACTTTTCCCTGTCTTCCTAAGTTCTCTATTGTAGAAACGGCACCTGGACGTGACTCGCATTTGATCCGTGTAATGAAAGTCTATCACCTTGCAAAGGCCCGTCATCCTTCAGATCTTCCTGACTGGCTCTTTGACGAGCGCGAACGGAAGCCATCTCTCGGTTCTCGGTTCACACAGTTGCAAAGAGGCGCATCATCTGATACTCAACCCATGCGCCCTGTAACGCCCCGTTATGTCTACGATAACACAGCTCCTCGTGCAATACCAACAAAGCATTCACACACCACATCCTACGTCCTTACTTCCCCAGAAAAGACAGGCTCATCAAAGGCTGCGGATCGCCTGAAGGCATTCAGAGATGCAAAGCGAGCTGATTTGGGGGTGCGGCACGGTTCCTCCAAATCAGAGAGCTTGTCCTACTCTCCATCACGATTTCATACCAACGTGGATGCATATCATAATGACAATCACCGGGGCGCATTGCCTTCTCCTACCAGACGACCCCTACTGTCGGCGCAGCCGTCTCAACCAGGCGCATTCTGATTCAGTTGGTCGTTCTCAATCTGGAAGCGTAAGTCTCTGGGCGTACAAACTTGTATGGATAAATATTTTTCTATACTTCATGTACCTTCGGTGTCATACATGTATGCACGGGTGTTGTAGAGAACCTACTCAATTGACTCGATGATTGCTTACATTTTGTCGAATACACGGAACACCTAGATCTTATCTTATCGATTCTGTTAGGTAAGTTCGTTCCAAATCAAATACCTATAAAATTGACGACAGCACTAGTGTCATTGGAAATTCACAGGTCTGACAAAATCATGAGACCTTGTTACGATGAAAACACCATAATGCAAGCTCTGTCAGGCTCCACACCGTTCTGTTGCTCGTGCCGCAGCGTGTCGTTTCCAGAGAGACCAGCTGACACCAAGACAACTCGTTTTTCAGGTGACGGAAACAAGATATGCTGAACAATGTTTAATTATTTTCATTGCACTCAGGACATTAGACTTTAAGATTTGCCAGTTAGATGTTCAAGGCAGCAGCTTATGGTGCATACAAACTGTACTGTGGATCAGCCAGAAAACTCATCGTCTGTTTTTGCACGTCAAATCCGCTGGCAAGTGACTCCAGTTGCAGGGCGGAAATAACCAGTTCCACCCCGTTGACAACGGACGATCTTCGATCGAAAATTGCTCACTCCGAGTTCCAGTCGCTATGGTGAGCTCTGACACAAGGGCAAGACAGTCCTACTTAAACCTTGGCCCCTGAGTGTCAGGTCTCTCTTTACCTTTTCGACCTCTTCATCGACCCTCTTTCTCCTTTCTGTCGTCTTAGTCGAGTTGACTCTCGGCTCGCACACTTCGGGGTTCGTCTGTGACTTTTTTCGTAGCTTGAACTAACCCTTACTTATGGTGCAGATCACTCTCTTTGATAGAGCAGGACTTCACTACTCCTAGAAGGAGCACTACGTGCGCTCAGGTCGCCAGTAGTCTTTGAACAAGTATTTTTTTCTGTTTTTAAAATGGTCTTTATTGCGCCCTTCCTGAGCGCCGCAGCGTTATGCACCACCCTGGTGGTGGCTGCTCCTCAACTTGATAACTTCCCTCGGCATGAGTCACCTGCGTATGTCTGTTTTCCTCTCTGTTTGAGATTTTTCTCACTCAAATGACAGTCCTGCCTCAATGGCCACACCCGCCATGGGCGCCGTGGTCACCCCTCGCTCCGAAGGAGGTTCGTATGGTGATTCATCGGGAGGCTCATATTCATCAGGAAGCTCGTATGGCGATTCATCGGGAGGCTCGCAAGGTGGTGTGTCACAGCAAGACGGGAATTACGGCGGTGGTGATGGCTGGGGCAATCAGGGTTACATGAACACGAGCACGACGATGGCCGCAACGTCTACCATGGAAGGTTATGGTGGTATGGATGGCATGCAAACGTCCATGACAATGTCCACAAGTTACGCCGACAGTGGCTACAGCAGTACGGCCAGCATGAGCGAGTCCAGTACCATATGCAGCTCAGCGACGACTTCGACTCCCGACGCCACGTCGACTGCCATGAACACCTACTCCACACCCGCATACGGCTCAGGCAGTTATGGAGGTGGCAGCGGTGGTTCAGGCTATCAAAGTTGCATGCAGAGTAAGTTTGCGCGAACTTTAGCCAGCGACAACATGCTGATACCTCTATTTAGTGTGTGCTGCATCTTACGGCGCTCCTACGATGGCATCCTCTACATGGTCGGCATCCTCTACATGGTCCGCTCCCCCCGCCACGACTACCGCAGCGGGTAGTTCTGGTTGTACACACACCGTCATTGTTGCTCCTACCCAGGGCGTTTTGCGTTATGTGCCCTTCGCCATCAATGCGTCTGTTGGTGACACGGTCGCATTTGTCTGGAATGCCAACACACACACTGTTACGAAGTCATCTGAACTGGCGGTAAGTCTGTTCATGAACATCGATTTTGAATGAATATCTTAGATGCTTTTTAGATTTGTAATAAAACTTCGGACATGCCATTTTCTTCTGGGGTGCAGAATAAGAGCTTCGTTTGTACGTGTCTGGAGCCATAAATTTGATGGAAAAACTGATCAGCGTCTTAGTCACCCAAACTGTCAATGACACCAATACAACATTCTTCTACTGTGGAGTTCCCGGACACTGTCAGAAAGGAATGTTCGGTATCTTGTATGGTTCTCTCTTATTTAACGTGACTAGTTATCTGACTCGTGGCCTCAGGAACCCTCCCAATGCTCTAATGGGCAGCACCTCATCAGTCTCCAGTATGATGCCTGTCATGGCTTCAAACGTGAGCATTGACAATTTGTTTTTGATTCCCTAATCCCAATCGCCACCAGAGCTCGAACATGACTGCGATGGTTCAGTACACCCAGATGGCGACGGCGAATAATACCATGGCTGGCAATTGGGGTGGAAACATCGACATGAGTGGCATGCCTCCATCGTCCTACCAATACGCGCTCGAAAATGTGATGTGAGTTTCTGATTTTTCTCTCGTGCCGCCTGACATGATCCTTACGCGTCTTGCACAAGGTATACGCGAACCTTTTTGGCTGCCAACCCCGAAGTTTTGTCAGAAGACGGCGTTATCGACCTGTCTAACGCAGGAACTACACCACTCATAATTCCAAATGACATTACCGCTGCCGCCGCCAATTCCTCTACATCTCCTGGATCCCCCACTTCCGGATCACCAACTGCAGGGGCTACTGGCAGCAGCAGCCCCTCAGCAGCCTCGACAGGTGGTGCTAAGAGCCTCGGTTCATCGAGCATTCTCGTCAGCGTTGTTGTTGTCGCCTCCCTTGCGTTCACCCTATGAACGTCCCATAGTAATTGGACTTGAAGTTGGCTATCTTTCTATTTTCTTTTACTTGTTCTCATGTGGCAGACTGTTCGTCCTCTTACGTTGCGCTCCGGCGAACTAGAGTGATGCTGTCCACTATGAGCTTTTTCCACCAGCCAGGCGCTGCGTTTTGTTTCGAACCGTACTTAAATCTGCTATCTTTGCATTAGCTTGCGTAGAGACACAGAAGTGAAGTAGTTGTAGAGAAGCTGAAATCCAAATGGAGTCGAACGATACCGTTTGAATACCATGAGAAATCGAAGTCCAGCTAAAAGCCGAATATATCGTCGATCTCGTCTCGTTTCTCCCTGACCTTCTTCGATCGTCCTTGGTTGGCAGGAGTAGATGATATCTTTCGTTTTGTCGCAATCTTGTCTTTTCGAGCGGATGATGTGGTAATGGCGACTTTTTCTACAACTAATAGTTCCGATTGATTAGATGCAATGTTGCAGACACGTCGTGAGGGGGATAGTAACATACCGACTGCAGCTTGCAAGTTTATGCTCCCAGCTTTTTCCATAACGGCCCTAGCATCGACTGGTGTGGATGATGGTCGGTCAAGCGTCTCCTCTCTAGAAACAGCGGAACCAAAATCCTCCGGGGGAACATCTGGGTTAACGGTATGAGCTAGCTGGTCACTCTGACGGGACAAGAGATGTTCCGACGTCTTGGAAGTGCTCGATTCAGCTACGAAACTCGGCTTGTGGGTCGGCTAGGAAATCACAGTGAGAATCAAATAGTAATTAGTAGAGATAGACTGATTTACGTCGATAACACTCAGTACGCGATCACAAGCAGTCTCGCAATCTCGGACACGATCACCCATTTCAACCGACAAAGTTGCCATTCTTGAAGCAAGTCCGGCAAATAGTATAATTAGGTGAATGAATGCACCAGACTGCATTGCAAGGGAGGAATGGCTTTACCAAGCATTGAGCAATTAGAGATGTACAGATTGCCAGGGACTTACTAATAAGCTTCTTGAAGTCGCTCAGAAGTCTGTAAATGACCATCGTTAGGGATACGTACAGTAGTACCTGCTCACTCACTTTAAGTATCAAGCAAGAATAAGCCTTAAACCTTTCAGTCATGAAAGATACATACGACCGACTTGGGACGTGATTCCAAGACCCTCTCATCAATTTTTCACTGCAAGTGTTCGATCACTTTATCTCATTCCAAAGCTGAATGAAATATCACACCTCTGAACAACAGTAGCATCATAGAACGATGCTCTAAGAAGATGCACATCCTCGACCATATTTACTTCTAGCAGCCGCCAACCATAACGTCTGATCTCCGAAATACGTTTGAAGAACAAAGCGGCTCGATGCTGATTTTTACTTCTATAGTAAAGCCTTTCAAGCACCTGCATTTCATCCTGGTAGCTGGCGAGAGCGGCTTGCAACCGACGTGAACATGCTTTCAGATCTTTGAGAATGCCGTCAACAGTAGAATGCAATGAATTCTCGAGGGAAGCCCTTTCTGAGAAAGAGGTATCTGTTGGAGCACAACTGCGCGCGCGTCGTGTATTCATTTCGAGCCTAGGGTAGTTTGGCAGAATTTTCTGAAGTCAGGTTCATCTGCAGTCGCCGGAAGTAAAATGCGAGTGACGGTATTACGTACTATACGTAGCGTTGACCAAGTACTAAATAACTACCACTTCGGGTTCTTTATTCTTTAATCCATTGAGTAGCAATTACAACCAAATTACAACAGCTGCTCAGAGGACCAATTTGCGATGTCTACGCAACAGGGTCAAGATGCCAAATTCTTCCAGCGCGGGAAGATCGAGGTACGGCACTCTCAGACGGGTCGCCGACTGGAACTCAGTGTTGAACTTGATCATGTAGGAGTTTCGTGCTGAGCTGCAAGCAGCAGAGGCAAAGGATAAAAAGTTCCAGAAACGAAAGACCGTCCTGAAGAAGATTGTGGCAAACATCACGATGGGCAATGACAGTGAGTAATCAAGAATCACGGTATCACTCGCTCATATATATGCGGCATGTACCCCAGTGTCACCTCTATTTCACGATGTAATTCAATGTATAGGAACCCCGTTGTTAGAGATTAAGAAGAGTGAGTGGGCATATCCATATGGTTAATATCATCCTGATGCCACTACAGTGGTATACCTTTTCCTTGTCAGCTATGGGCGCTCGAAACCAGATCAGATACACCTAGTAATTCCTAGTTTCCTACAGGTATTGAGTTCACATCTGTCGCGTCGGCCTCATCGCTCTAATGTGCTATAGGACTGTAACGATCGTAACCCTCTCATACGAGCACTCGCAATCCGAACAATGTCCTATATTCCCATA